CCTAAAACCCTAAACCTTTTAAACCCTAAACCCTAAACCCCTACACCCTAAACCCTAAACCCTAAACCCCTAAACCCCCAAACCCTACACCCCTAACCTTACAAGGCAACGAAGCCCCAGGTTCCCCCTCGCAGCAAACATGAGCCAGAGCGAATCCCGGGGTGGCCACCACGGAATCTACTTAAAACCCTATCTGTAGGTTTAGGGGCCTAGGGTTTCAGGGTTTAGGGTTTAAGGTTTGGGGTAAAAAGGTCATGGGACTTAGTAAGTAAGGTTAGAACTGAGGTGGTAACTATACTTATAACCCCAATTCGGGGACTCATAACCTTACTTACTAAGTCCCATGATCCTCCAAGTAGCATCGAGCCAGTCATGTTCTGACATCCACGCGGGTTTTTTCAGAGTCTGGGTAGTCTACATACCTGCTTCACTGTTGAAAGTCATTCCAGGTTTGAAGGATGCACCATGGCTTAAAGTTCAAGCCCGCGGATCCTTTTGGGTTTAGGGTTACGAAGCACGGTTTTAGGGTTCAGGGTGTAGGCTTTACGGTTCAGGGTAAACCCTAAACCCTAAACCCTAAACCCTAAACCCTACATGCTGTAACATACACCAGACCCCGGTTCCGATTCTTAAGACCCCTAAACTAGACCAAGACTTAGTTAGCCAACAGGAGAACCTTAAACCTTCTTGGCCTTATATATTTGGTCTATCCTAAAAGTTTGAACTTTTTGGGCCTGGATGTTGAAGAAGAAAGAAGAGCACATAACTTCAGTTTCCCAGGAGAATTGGAACGGGCGCATCCACGCCATCGTGCGTGCCAAGATGGCGGGGTTTCCTTTCTTCTGATTTGCCTGTGATTGTCTCGATTGTCGAAATCCAGACGATGTGTTGGCATTCGTCACGATGATGGGCATGGTGTTGGTCTGATCTTAAGGATAGCATCAGTGTGATGGTGACACTAGTGGTAATTGTGGCTGTGATGGTGGGGGTAGTGGTGGTGGCGGTGGTGGTGGTGGTGGTGGTGGTGGATGTAAACGAAGATGACCAGGTATCGCTGTCGACGACCAGCGATTGCCGTCGTTACCTGTTGTTTTGCTGCCTGCTCCTGCTGTTGCTACCACCATGGCTGTGGCTGTGAAAGACTTACATAGCAAAGATCCTGTTTCTCCTGAATGTCTCGTGGGAGTCAGCTCCATGAGCAGCGTGGTTTGGTCACGGGTCGAATTGCCCCGGGCTGGATTCACATGGAGTTTGGTTGTAGGGTGTTGTTTAGGATTGCACTTGGCCTTCCTTCAGGCTGGTACCATGAACATAGAAGAGCTACCGTCAACCCCAACCCCAAAACAGCTAGAAGCCCCCTAAACCCTAAACCCTAAACCCGAGAACCCCTGCAAGGACCAGAAGCCTTGTTAGAACTGTGAGCCCGAAGCCCTGAACCCCAGGCCCTAAATCCTGAAATTCTGAACCGAGTGTTCCTTGATTGGAGTCGACCATGAAGCTCAACAGACTTCGAGAGTTTGGTTTGCGTTTTCACGATTTTTACTTCCGTGCCTTGGGTTTGAGACAGGGATTGTGGGACTATGAATCTAGGCTTTTCAAATCAGGGGGCGTGCCCGCAAGCCGCACCGGGAAGTTGCCCGAGAAACACTGAAGAAACGGGACGCATACGCCCTAAACCCTAAACCCCTAAAGCCCTAAAGCCCCTAAACCCTAAACCCTAAACCCTAAACCCTAAACCCCTAAAGCCCTAAAGCCCTAAAGCCCCTAAACCCTGAACCCTAAACCGCTTTTGTAGCTTCAAGCCTCCAGGGTTTAGGGTCTATGCTTTGTAGCTTCGGCTTCCTTCTTCCTCCATGATGGAAGGCGGGGGACAGTCGACTCCACACCACCCTGCAGCTCAGCTGCGAAGAGTGGCGAAAATCATCGGGGTTTTTGGGGCTATTTGGAGGCTAACAGTCCCCTATTACATGGGTTATAACTATAGCTAAACCCTGCCTAAACCCCCACTTATAACGACCCCGTGAACCTCCGAGCAGAGACCCTGATCCCGGCACCTCGCAGCATAGGCCTTGCAAGGAATTGAAAGGCAGCGAACCGAAAGGGAACAGGGCCAATGAAGTCCAATACCCTGAACACTCCCAAAACTCAGCGGAGCTCTGGAGCTCCGAAGGATTTCCAAGCTTTGGGTTCACTCCCTATAGAGAGCCCTCCAGTGGACCTTACAGGTGGGTCAAGGTATAGGGCTTAGGGCTTAAGGTTTAGGGTTTAGGGTCTAAGGTTTAGGGCAAATCCCAAAAAGTTGGAGACCGGATTAAGGACAAATGGTGCTGGGATTCCTTATGCATTGCTCTTAAGGACTGAGGCTATCGGGTTTCCTTTATTTTGGGCCTCTACTATAAACACTTGACCCTTTTAGGGAATGCTAGTGGTATGCTCTCGAGCCGAGCTCATACCAGAAGATAAACGACAAACCCTGAGCCGCCAAACCCTGGAGCCCCAAAACCCTGAATCCCAAAACTGCCCTACACCCGGGCCTCCTAAAGCCCATAGAGCCCTTGCAGTAACCCTTTGAAAGAACCCTTTGACAGACAAGCCCCCTAGAACCGTCTAGCATGTTTAGTAGAACCCTTTAAATCAAAGAGCTCTAGAACCCCAATAGAACCCAAATGAATTCCATAGAACCTCCTGGAACCCTTCTAGAACCCCGTCATAGAAGCCTCCCAGAACCCTGATAGAACCCCATCGAACCCTAGACTCCCCGACGCCCGAAGGCACGGGCAGTTGCTCTCTCGATGCGCGGCGTTGAGAACCTGAGATCCGAAAAAGCGATCGCAGGGTTTTGGGTTTTACAGCGGGTTTCCAGGGTGTTTAAGTGGTGTTTTCAGGGCCTTTTTTTGTGTTTCCAGGGTTTTCAGGGCCGTTCAGGGTTTCTAGGGTTTTGGCGGCCCTTTGGCGCTTCAGGGATTTTACGGCCTTCTCGGGTTTCTAATTTCCAGAGCTAGGATTTGCGAGTGCTTTTCAGGAGTTAGGGATTGAGGGTTTTGTTATGCTTTGGTTCAAGGGTTTATGGTAGGGTTAGGGGTGTGGGGTTTAGGGTTTTAGGGTTTAGGGCCTCGGGGCCGGTTGGTGAACACCAGACAGTAGGAAACATGAACCAAGCTGGCTTAATGCTCGGGTGTTGTGTCGGATGCTGAGGTTCCCATCTTTGTGGCAGTAGCTGTAGGACGTTCCCTATGTGGAAATTAGTGACTAAGTGCTGATGGGATAACCCCCTGCAGCACTTTAGCTCTTTGTACCAAAATTCGGTGAATGGGATACTCCTGTGTTGGATCATGCAGGACTGTGTCAATGTCACAATGTTTGTAACCCTACTTACGACTACCCCTTAACCCACTCCACGGAAAGCCCCGCGTACAGATCACGGCTGCTTTAAAAGGGCGGGTTTAGGCTTTATGCCTTTAGGGTTTAACCCCTAAACCCTACACCCTAAACCCCTAAAGCCTAGTCCCTAAACCCCTAAACCCCTAAACCCTAACAAAGGGGCTTTAAGCTTTAGGCTTTGTAAATCATCGGGCTGTTTTGGCCTGAGGGCTCTAGGGTCTCCAGGATTTAATCACCGGGGCCTGAGATGCTCACTATGCTTAATGTAAGGGCCTAAAATAATTTCCGATGCTAGTTGGGGGTTCCTTACTATGATTATAGGAAAATATACCCCTTTGGGGGTTCCTTATTCTGATTATAGTAGTATAATATACCCCAAAACCCTATTCTATTTATTAAGGCCCCTGCATAAACAAAACAGCTACACCTGCAACAGTAGACTCCGCGACCCTCAAGCCCTCAAACACCAAACCCTGAACCCTAAACCCTAAACCCTAAACCCTAAACCCTAAACCCCTAAACCCTAAACCCTGAACCCTAAACCCTAAATCCGAAACTCCCAAAGGCCTCGCTGAAAACCCTGATAGGAGCCCTTTGCATTACAGGAGCCCGCAATCCCGAAAGCCAAACAGTCATAAGGACCCATAGGGCGGGGGGGGGGGGAAGGGGGGTAGGGGGCCTTAATACCTATATCAAGGACTTAATAAGGTCTATTTAAGGAGTCACTTAAACCCGAAAGCCGAAACCCTAAACCCTAAACCGTGGCCCTTAAACCCTGTAAGGGCCCCTATGAAAGCAGAGCAAGGTGCAGGAGCCGGCAACCGGGCCCGGAGCCAAACCGGTGGCGACGAGGCAAGGGGCGACCCGGAGAAGTGCAGTAATATAGGGGCCTCACTACTTAGGTTTAGGGTTTAGGGTTTAGGGGTTTTGGGTTTAGTGTTTAGGGTTTAGGGTTTAGGGTAATATAAGGGGCCTCACTGCTTAGATTAGGGTTTGGGGATGATATATAATATTATTACCATAATTATAATAAGGAACCCCCAAAACACACCCTATTCTAATTACCATAAGTCCCCTGCAGCACTGTGTCGGAAAAGCCTTGGCAGCAATAGCATCCCCGGATTGTAATAGTTGATAAAGACCTTAGCTACCTACTTGCAGCCTACTTGCAGTTTTGGTATACATAGTTATTATACGGTCATATACGACTAGTACTTGGAGGATCATGGGACTTAGTAAGTAAGGTTATAAGTCCCCTAATTGGGGTTATAAAGTATAGTTAACTTAGTTATAAACTTACTAAGTCCCATGATCCTTTAAGTACCCCAAAAACCCTGTTCCGAGGATCAAGAACCCTGGTATTGCAGCCACCAAGTTTTTGGTTTTAAAGGGCTGCTATGTTTGAGGGGTTTGTAGGATTTCAGAGGGCTTGAAGGATTGAGCGTTGAGGTCGTGCAAGGGCGCTGGAGAGGTTTTGTAAGGTCTTAGAATGTGGTTTTGCAAGGGCGCTTGAGGGGTGTTCTAAGTCCTTGGATTCTGTAGGGCTGTGTCGGACGATTAAGGGCTTCGGGGTTTACCTGTTTAGGGTTCGGGCTTGAGTCTTCAATTTTAGAGTTCACTTCTGCCAAAAGCATGAAGATCAGACTGCTCCAGCTCTCTGACTGTCACTGTAAGGATTTCGGGTTTGATTCTATGCCGTCTCACGTGGACTTGGTCTTCTGCTTGCTCTGCGCTAGAGTCGCCTGATCAGCATCTTCATCATTACCGGACCTATTGCAGGGGGGCTGAAGTGCTTCATTGATACTTTTTGACGACGACTAGGAATGCTAAGAGCAGAGGAGCATCTGTAAGACCAACCGAGACAGCAGACAGTCTCGAAGAGTCCAGCCGGTAAACTCCTCCGATTGCAGGCGTCCCGCGCCTATTGAACAACTCCCACCACTCTCACAAACGGAATCCCCGAAGAGGAGGGACGTAGCATTACGCCTGCCCCGTCGCATGAATTCTGTTGCGAGGGGGGATTCCTAGTAATGACCTCCACCCCAAATCGTACAAGCCTGAAGCAAACATGCTGTACGCCCGAAGCACCCTCGCAACACAACTTGGGCCGACATGCCATAAGCATCACAAGATGGAACACACGAGAGAGAGCAGAGCACCAGCAAAAAAGACAAAGCAGAAAATGCACGACACCCGAAGCCGTAAACCCAGTCATTGTCACCACAACAGGAGTTGGCCTCCCTCTATGGCCCTGTGGACGAGGCATTTGATGCCCTTGCTTTCTAAGGGAATACAGGTTTCATGTCGGTCCCTAAACCCTACTTGGAGGATCATGGGACTTAGTAAGTAAGGTTATAAGTCCCCTAATTGGGGTTATAAGTATAGCGACCTTAGTTATAACCCTACTTACTAAGTCCCATGATCCTTTAAGTAATCGCCCTAATCCGTAAACCCCTACACTTAAACCCTAAACCTCAAACCCCAAAGCTCAAACCTCAAACCGTACCCGGGTTGACAGTGTTTTGTAGGGTCTTAGGGGTTTAGCACTGGGGTTCTGAGTAGCCTTGACAATTTGAAGAGGGCTTGGGGGGGGGGGGGGTGAATCATACCCTAAACCCTAAACCCCTAAACCCTAAACCCTAAACCCTAAACCCTAAACCCTAAACCCTAAACCCTATACCCTAAACCCCTGAACCCCTTAACCCCTTAAGCCCTTAAGCCCTAAACCCTTTGGGACTTCCTTGGGTTTACTCCGACGGACTCTTCATAAACCCTAGTACCCAAATACCCTAAACCCTAATATTAGGGTTTAGGGTTTAGGGTTTAGGGTTTAGGGTTTAGGGTTTAGGGTTTAGGGTTTAGGGTTTTGGGTTAATACCCTAACTCAAAAAACAGCGGCCTAATCTCGAACCCGAGAGCTCTGGGAGCAGCGGCTGTGGGAGAAGCGGAGCGAAGGCGCCTTCGCAAAGGACCAGCAGCTGCAGGGGTTTGGGTTTAGGGGTTTAGGGTTTAGGGCAGCAGGCTGTGGAGATGGCAAACAGCTGGCGCTCAAGTCTGAACCAGGCACAGAGAGTGCATGTATATGCATATACATATATATATATATATACGCACAGCATTCGTATGTACTTGTATTTATTTGTTTACTCATATACTTAGTTGGTTATTACATTGTTTCACTAAACCCACGAAAACGTCCACCCCCCCCAAGGTCTCCCTCCGTCTCCAACACACACGCACACACAGAAAGCACAGCGAGATTCGCAAAAACGCCTTAAACACAACCCCAAACCCTAGACCTAAACCCTCAAGACCAAACCCCTCAACCCAAAACCCCAAACCCGAAGCCTTCAAGCGTAACACCCTAAAATCGAAACCCTCAACCCCAAACCCTAAACCCGAAACCCTCAAACCCTAAACCCGAAACCCTCAAACCTAAACCCTAAATCCGAAACCCTCAAACCCTAAACCCTAAACCCGAAGCCCTCAAACCTAAACAGGAAACCCGAAGTCCTCAAACCTAAACCCAAAACCCTCAAACCTAAACCGGAAACCCGAAGTCCTCAAGCCTAAACCCTAAACCCGAAGCCCTCAAACCTAAACCCAAAACCCTCAAACCTAAACCCGAAACCCGAAACCCGAAGCCCTCAAACCTAAACCCGAAACCCGAAGCCCTCAAACCTAAACCCGAAACCCGAAGTCCTCAAACCTAAACCCAAAACCCTCA